TCTATTTTTATATAAGCCTACGTTTACACTTCGACGACATAAGTAGGTTAGCGGACGAGAGAGCAGTCGATTAATAGTAACAACCTCGAGCCGTGAGCGGAGTTGTGGTATACACACGTGATGTTAACATTAAGTTTATTTGAGATATTATCTTGTTTGTTTTTCGTAGTCATTTCAAGTACGACTGTCTTAAGTCTGTTTCAATTTATTTTACAGGTATGTTCCGACACCTGTAGTGCCAAATATAGGCTAAGTTTTTAGACTAAGACGTATAAATTTTACTAATTCCTAAAAAAAATAACTTGGTTTTGTTTCAATTTAAAACAGGCATTTAAAATCGGAGTTCAAACAAGTTTTACTAATTTCAGAGTCTCAATGGTAGAATGTTCGAGTCAATAGTAGTTTCATAGTCACAAATACCGGGAACAGTTTTGCAATCGAAAATCGTTCCAAAGTGCATTCTGAAGTCTCCTCTTTGTTCTCCCGTAAACGTGAGAGAGCAATAGGTGAATGCTATTATAGCTTAAAATTCCACTAAGAGATGAAAAGAGATAACAGTAATACAATATCGTTCGAAATAAGAATATTTAAAAAAACAACTACTTTCTATATCGATGTGGTCGGAGGGTACCACCTATTCATAATGATTTTGACGTTTTCTCTGTGTCCGTAGATTTGGCAAGATGAATTGTTTATAGATTCAGGGCGCTGGGTGAATTCATCTCTCCGAAAAGGGTCGGTGAACCAGACAAATTGTAACGAAAAGGATTCGTCCCCTTTTGTCAATTCGGCGTGCAATGTTCGCCTTAATCGTATCATTTGTAGGTTCTACGTCGAGTGAATATTTCGGAAATTAAAATCAGACAAAGGAGAGGGTTTCCGACGGATATGCAAATGCGGAGTTTTTTGTAATTCTTTGTTAACAAGTTGAGCAGAAACGGCATGAATTCAGTTAAATATAAAAATAAACTTTTTTGTACGTAGTACCTACCTATAGGAATGATAATAAAAAATTGCAAATTTAAAACTCTTTTATGCTGTTTAGGATACAATAAATACTATACACTAACTGGACTTTAAAATTAGAGTATGGTATATTGTTCACTGAGAAAGGCGGTTATAGAAAAATAAAATTCTAAAATGAATAGTAAAAATACAATCGTGGTTAAAGACTGGTGGCTTGATTTACGTAGAGCGTGTCGTCAGATTGGTGTAACCAAACATGGCGTTATCTAAATTATAGGCGTATGTATTGGTTGCATACGAGATGAGCACTATCGACCATTGCACGGCTGTACGTGACACTCATGTAAAGCAGACAACTGAATCTGAATAAAGCACCATTTCCTTTTCAGGTTTGGAAAAAAAAAGTTTTACGGTTCTCTCTGGAATATATATTATGTATTTCTAATGTGTCTAAATTTAAGTAAAATTGAATTCATTCTTATGGGCTAGTATGTATTGCCCTACCTTGGAAACACGCCCTATCTATTCTCTAAAAATCATTCTCTTAACGGAAAAACTTTTTTAAAAACTCGAAATTGGAAACAATGGCATCGCAATAAGCCGTTTGCCGTTCTGAAAAAAAAAGAAGAAGAATTTATATGGTTTTTAGTGCCAAAGTATTTAAGTATTGTATTAATAAATCAACATTAATTTTACTTTGCACTTTACTCTGTAATATTTTAGAGAGATTGTCGATGTCAAGTTCATACATAATATGTTTACTAACTATTATTTGTTAATTAATTTATTCAAAGGTTCTTGGTATGTTTACATCGAAACGATCAAGTAATTTTATTACTTCCAAAGTAAACAAGCAATTAGGCAGAACATTGCTAACATTTCACCACCATAGGCAACACTTAAAGGAAAATCCCCTGTGGGTGCACATACAGAGCCAATTAATTTAGACCGTACCCTCGTGGTTGGCTTTCAAAATCCTTTTACATATCTAAAGAAAATGTCAACGACATGTGAGCTTAATCCATGTATATACAGTGTAAAACGACTGAGGCTAAACCGGATCGACCCACAGCAAAAATACAATTTACTTGGCAGATAACTATTAAAAAAAACTAAAGCCATAACTATGTATGAGACAGTGGTCTCAACAAATTACTGCGGAATTAGCCAAAATCAATGCTATAGATTCAAATTAAGACCAAAATGGAAACGAACTGTCTGAAGAATAGATATTCTCTTTGAAGACTAATTCTGTAATTAATTAGTCATTCAAGATTTCCACTTAAATTGCTACAGCTGTCTACCTTCCAGATCTGGGGATTTTGAATCGAAATTTGAGCATAAATTAGTTTACGTNACAAATTACTGCGGAATTAGCCAAAATCAATGCTATAGATTCAAATTAAGACCAAAATGGAAACGAACTGTCTGAAGAATAGATATTCTCTTTGAAGACTAATTCTGTAATTAATTAGTCATTCAAGATTTCCACTTAAATTGCTACAGCTGTCTACCTTCCAGATCTGGGGATTTTGAATCGAAATTTGAGCATAAATTAGTTTACGCACAAGTAAATCGTACGCTTTTCTGATTGTACTTTGTAAGCAACAAAAGTTATCACGAAAATGAGTTTTTATTTGAATCAGAGTTATTCCGGATACAACATTTTGTTTAAGCAAAAACGTAACGTTTTTCTTTATGAAAATACAATAAAATTGTTTTGGCTTTCTTCGGAAAAACTTTACGAAGCCTTCCAAACTCTTGGTCTATTTTCGTGTTCATAAAAAGAAAAATGGTTAATTGTTATTCATATTTTTAGCCCTGACAATGGTTTAACGAGGAAATATTTTGTTAAATACAGTTTTATTCAGCTTAGACCTAAGGTAAAATAAAAACCATAGCTCTAATCAGTATGACAGAAGCAGAATATGATACCTGAAGTTACGTGACTATATAAGGAAATCAATATTGAATTTAAAAATAATCACCATATTTACCTATTATGTGTTTACATAACGACGAACATATCCATATGAGGTAACATATCCACGAACTACTTCTAAATTAAAGGAACAACATCGTTTAAAGCAAACCAACCTACCGTAAAAACTACTACTACCGCGAATCAGTAAATACATTCCACTTCGAAAGTTTCCAATTCCTCTTGTTCTGATGCAAATGTGACTTCCAGGTTATATCTCAACGTAAGCGGTTTGAGAGCTACACATAATCCGATAATCGGTTAACTCTACATACATCGTTAACTTGTCAGCCTATCTAAGCTAAAATAGATCAAAACGTCGTAATCAATAAAAGCAACAAAAACAAGGCTTCTTAATAAGCTATTTGTCACGCCCACAGTACGTAGAGCAGCTACGAACCTAATTAATTCCTCTTTGAGAACAGATTGAAAACACTCGGATCTTAGAAGTTAATTTAGACTAGACTTATTTACGGAACGGCTAAAATTTAATTATCTCCAACGCCGAAGCACAGGGAACCGATCTAATTAAGAATTTCAGCCAAAGTTTAAAAGCATACATGTGTATGTATATTCAGAGGTTTGCCCCGCTCGCGTCCAACACAAACATCCTCAGATTAACATTAGTTGAAAACAATGTCGGGAGAACCAAACGAAGTTCTAAGTACTTCGGTGTTTCCATACCAATATTCAAATGAGTTCAGTGGTGCAGAAACTCGACCGTTTAGACTTCCATTCTGTTCGGAAACGACCAAGTTATTGTACGTTGTGGAATTATCTAAATGAATTTCAATTATCTTTCTTATTCAATGGCTTTTAAGGAATTAGGATTGATATTAAAGGACGCTGTCCAATTCTAATTAAAATAGCAATCTAAAAGTGAACAGAACAATATTTAGTAAGGAATGTAATTTTATTATCAGGGCTTTCAAATATTGTGATAATCTGCCGATAAAAAAGTATATTTGAAATCGTACCACACGATAATGGGATCCATTAGTCATTACTGCCATATATAGACGTAGCAATGAAAAGTCCAGGATAATGTTAGATCATGCGTCACATGGCGCCATCGACCTGTCGCGACCGGCTCGGTACCAAAATAAACTGACGACGGACAGACAGACATTCAAATTTACATACGGTATTAGCATTCAATGATAGTGAACAACAGGAACTGCATATCTCTTGAAAATTACATAGGCTTGTTTGTAATAACACGACGTACGACATAGTGAAGTTAGTTCCAGTTATTTAACAATACTAGTTAATAATAATTTCCATTGCGCTGTAGAACAAAGATTACGAGTTTTGTCTAATTCCGTTTTCTCATTCGTTTCATTCAAAATGTTCGATCGATGTTGTTTCGTTTTTAAAAACATTTTTAGAAATATATTCTTTTAATGTAACGGAGAATTAATAAAAATACAAAAAAAATACATCAATCCGTTTTCTGCGGGCCGTGTCAGTTTCTTTTATGTTTTTCTGTAAATTATAAGATTATATTCTTGTACAGGAACTACGGTAATGAGCCATTTAATTTGATAAATACATAGGGTATTACTTTAAAAAAATACGGCACATACATAATATATTTTTAAATTCTGATTTACACTCATAATTGGCCCCTCAAATCGGAACTGTGACAGACAATTAAGAAGACACTACACGGGTTGAATTCTATCATCAAACAAACGGAGCTACATTGCATTTTTAATCGATAAATAATTCAATATTTTTTTCATTCATTTACAAACTGGTCACATACTTCAAAAACAATAAAATCCATAAATATATTTTTAGATAGTTTCCATTTAAATGTAAATTTAAGATTTTATAACTAATACTTTTAGTGACTATCAAATGAAAAATAAAATTATTTCGAAATCAACCAATCGTTAAAGATAAAATGAAATTAATGTTGTTGAAAAGCAAAAGAAAATTAGTTTTGCGTTCAATTACGCTAATAATTACGTATTTATTATGTAAATTAGCTCAAACTCCGAGGGTGGTATTTATAACGAAATTATGTATAATATAAACATGTACTCACTTGAAGGTTGGAACGGGATCTCCGCGGCATAACGCCCACAACTTCTCCTCGCATTATCGATTCTATCACTGGAACAAAGGAGTTTCATTACTTACGAGACGTTTACAAGGAATTTCGTAATAAAGTATCAATTACACTTTCGAGATACAGAGAAGGGGGATTTAAATTTAATTTAAATCGTGATGAGAAGGACGCTAATTGACATGCTTGAAAAAAATTACGTAACATTCGAGTATTTCTCTAAGACTTACGGATTTAATTAAAAATGATCTCCAATATAAATCTTCGCTTATAAGGACTTATAAAACGTAAGTTTATTGGAATATTAACTAAGCTATTAATATTCAATTATATTATCTAGATATCCAAATATTTTATGTCATTCAAAATTATTCTTAATAAGAATATTTAAGAGATTAGGCCTGAAAACATTTAAGATAACTCGCATAATATATTATACATTTTAATACGTAGAAAGTAACTTTATTTACATTTAAAAGATAAAAAGCAATCCAATGCAAAATAATGTTTTCCTCTGTAAATATTAATTTCATCAGGAACATATAAAAGGTATTAGTGATTGTAGACTTAATAAGTTTATCAAGCATCATTTTGTTATTTAAGCGTTTCACTAACGCCATCTCTTGTGGGTTAGTTGAAATTATTGTTCAGGAAGACCACATCAGCGTTAAGCAGCATAGTGTTTTTCCCTAACAGCAAAAATACATTGCATTAGCAAGGTTTCAATCCAATTACGCGAATAAAGGTAATGCTACTCTTTACATGTTACGAGAACATCTTTAGGTCGTTGTACGCTGAATTACATAACACGGAATCACATTTAGAACGTGCATGCTTTTTACTTTACGAACATAGAAATAAAGGCTTCGAGTTCTCTTGCAACTTATCCGAGAAATGTGCACGTGGTTTAATAATAAAACATGTATCACATTTAGTGTGTCGAAATTGAAAATAGGGTTGTATTATACTTCGTACATATTTATTATTCCTATAGTTAGATTTGTTGCGTTTTAATTGATTAGTCCTGATCTTACGACTATTATAAAGTTAAGTACTATAATTATAGAAATATGTCATCCGATTCGACGGTTGACCACTTTCTCATGGTTCGACTTACCTAATTGGACAGCTTGTCAAGGTAAACGTACTCGCCGATAACTTCGAGCGATAAATATGTTTTATTCTTAATTAATAAAAATTGAATGACAGCAATGCTCATTGAGAGGCACACAACACTATTTTAGAATATAATCACTGAGTAGAGCGCCTTACTACGAGCAATAATATTATGCTGTGCATGATATAACACGTACATTCGATAAATTAAAACACATTGCGTAACACATCCCGATGTTATTAACACATCAACCGCTATCTAAACAAAAGAGCGATTAAGAACAGATGCTACGAACGAACTGTATGGAATATTTTATAGTTCAGTGTTAAATATATTGAGTGAACGGAAAATAGTTATTGGATATACATGATCGACTAACGAACGACTTTCACAAAAGGAAAAACGTAATTTAATAAAATGTCAATGATTTTAGTTTTTATTGGTAGTAAGTTTCGATCCTTAGGAGGGGGGAAGTTTCGAATTCAAGTGGCATCGAGCAGTTTCAATGATGATTTTAACGGACTTCAAAAAAAAGAAGGGTTCTCAATTCCGCTGTATTTTTTACGTCTATAGAGCTTAGAACTTTTTTCTAGGTGAACTGATTTTGTTCACTCTTTTTTATTTATTTGAAAGCTGGTGCTTCTGCTCATGTGGTCACATTTAAATTTTATCTTTAAATCTGACCAGTAGTTTTAAAGTTATTCTTAATAGTGTATTTTTGATTAGCTTCGACTACGTTGATTATATTTTCACTTTATTTTGTGTCTTTTAAATTTTTAATTTTGTATGGCCACGACGTTGTGGATTGAGAACTCGTTGGATAAACTCGTGAATTGAGGACCCAGTCACAGCATGAAATATAATAATTTAATTGAAATAGAACTATCGTCTGGTTATTTCTTTGTATTTTTAATCTTATAGTTTAACTAATAGTTAAATGTAAATAATATTTGAAGTGAGAGCTTATCATGTTATATTTCGTTATCAAAAAATGTTGTTTTCAATGTCATATCTTTGGCTCTTGCTATCATAGATAAGATTCCAGTTTATATATCTGATACTAAGCTTTTAAACACAAAGTGAGTCAACAAAATCGCCCAACTTAGTTATTGTATTATGCTCGAATAAATGAACAATTCCAAAAATGGTGTTTTGGCATCAGTTATTCTTAAACATCAAAACTAATGACGTCATTTGGGGCTAAGCCAAACCAAAAACTAAAGGCTATGCACAAATATATTAATTATAACAATTAGACACAAATCACATCATATTTTGTAATTGGCGTTTTAGCTTGTCGTGAAAAAATTATAAAATTTTATGATAAATAATTGTAATTTATTAAAGATCTTCTTTGGTTTTCGCGAGTCTTAAGAGAATTAAAACTACTTTCCTGGTTTAATTCCACGTTTTTTGGGAGAGTTCTATTTTATTCAATGATTAATTATAAAAACCAACGATGTTTCACGAAAATCACCGCTGAAATATACTTAGTCTGGCCATAAATACTGTTACAAAGGAAAACAAAACATTTATTACTTTTACAGTGTGTTAGTTTAATACATAAATATAAAACAATTTAAAGTATAAAAAGCTTATTCGAAGTGGTCTCCATAGGCTGCAATACAGTCCTTTAAACTTTGAGGCCAGTTATCAATAGAAGCACGCACTCTTTCCATGGGAAAAATTTTCACTGCCTATCGTACGGATTGTTTTAGGGACTCCAAATTATCATGGCGTTTAGAGCAAGCCGTACTCTCTAAAACTGACCATAAATCATAATCCAGCGGATTAAGATCGGGACTAGACGACGGCCAGTCTTCAGCTTTGATGAAGTCCGAAACGTTCGTTTCCAACCAAGACTGCGTAGACCGAGCGTTATGACCTGGCGCCGAATCTTGCTAGAAGGACCATTCTTGATTATTGAACATGCGTTGTTAAGGGGCTTCACTACCTTCACAAGAATGGTATCTTGATACACTTGTGCCGATGTTTTGATACCTTTTTCACAAAGGTATGGCTCAGTCACTCCTTCATAGCTAATACCCCACCAAACCATCACTGAGGTCGGATAGTGCCCACGTTGCACTGTGTCGACTAATGGGGAAGCTTCCTTAGAGCTTTGAGCATAAATACGGTCATTTTGTTAGTTAAAATGTTGCTCAATTGTAAAAAATTTCTTATCCGTAAACAAAAATTTTCTATGACCTCCCTTTGCGTACCGCTTCAGTAGTTGTTTCGATTTTACAACCCTATTCTCTTTTAAATTATTAGTTAAGATATGACCAGTACGTCTCTTATAGGCTACAAGTCCTAAGTCATCTTTTAAAATACGCGACATGGTTCTAGGTGCTATCTTCATCTCCCGAGATAAAATCTTTTGCTTTCGGACAGGATTTCTTCGAATTCTTTCGCTTATTGCTTTGACCACCTTTTTCGTACGAACACTACGCGGACGGCCAGATCTTTTTCTGTCACAAACAGAGGAGGTCTCATTGCACCTATTAATAGCCCGGTACACAAACATTTTACTAATACCAAGAGTATGGAGAGTTTTAAAGATTGCATTTGGCTCCATACCTACTTTGTGTAATGCAATCACAGCGATTCGGTTCTCTTTATCACCCCACTCCATTTTAATATCGACAGAGAACTAAAGTCATCGACATAGCTCAAAGCGTCAGCAAGCTAATGTGGCAGTGGGCTGGCCATATATGCCGTAGGACTGACGATCGCTGGAGCAGACGGGTTGTCGAGTGGAGACCGCGCAGCGGAGGACGTAACGTGGGATACCCCCTGGCTAGGTGGTGCGATGACCTCCGCAGGGTGGCCGGCAAGAAGTGGATGAGGAGAGTCGCAGACCGGGCTCAGTGGTGTGAATTGGGAGAGGCCTATGTCCAGCAGTGGACAACTGTGGGCTGATGATGATGATGATGATGAAAATATTGTACAATGTATTGGCGCCAAAATGAGAAAACTCAATGAGCAATCATATAGAAATGACAGATTCCAAATTCAAGTGTAATATTTTGTTTATTTTTAATTGTAACAGTATTTATGGCCAGACTAAGTAATTGTAATTTAATTAACACCCAAAATAACTATAATACCTTTTTATTGTTATTAGAGTCCGGTTGCCTATTATAGATTATAATTGATTCGTAAAAATACGTTCACCTTATTCTATTGTGCAGAAGACAGAACGTACAAAGTAGGATATTTTGAAATGATTGAATATTATTATATTTTTTTATAAAATAAATGGGTGCCATGATTTCTACTACACATTTAGTTGTGTCAGCTAATTATTATAACAGTACGCATGTAGTTAGTACGAAGTACGAATGTTTATTTATTAAACTTCAAAACAAATGGTTTCTATTATATTTTTCTAATTAATTTACAGTTTTCTTTAATATCTTTGATAAACATATAAAACGATTTAATAAATAAAACTCATTATTCATTGTTCTTAACAGTTATCGTTTTTACTATGATGCAATACAATATCCTTTGTTCTAAAGCGGTGTGGGCTATTAGATCTTTAGTTATAAGTTATGTAACAGCATAGATATTATAAGGTACGGGACAATACTCTACCGCGGTATCTGCACTACAGGAGTGTAATATTTAAAACATTAATCTGACAACAGTTTCAATAATTCCAATCACGATATTTTAGTCGTGTTTAATATTAAATTCTACTCAGATTAAGTGATTAGAATTGAAACTACTACGATAGTTTCCGTCATTACGTCCGTATTAGGTATATTCACCTTATTTTTCTGAAAAACTTCCTCACTGATCCTATCTCGGGTTCCAATGATACCCAACCAATATTTCGCCAGATCCTTTTAGTAGGCAAAAAAATTGTCATTTTCAAGCTCCTGTTTAAGAATTATTTTTGCATTATAATTATCCAACTATAAAAGACGGCTGGACCTTACTTACCACCGTCACCGAGAAGCCTCATTTGAACTAGAGACGGATCTTCGCTATGTTCTTCTAAAACAGTGTCATCGGTAACTGTCAGCTCCTGTGGACAAAAATGGTCTTTTAAAATATTTTCAACAGATCTCTTACGCTTTGCCATTTTATATTCTTAGAAAGTATATTTCAAAAACAACACAGTCTTGAGAAGCTAATTCAAAATATAGTTTTTAACCAATGATATATGTTTCACATTGTCAAAACAAGTCGAAAATAGCCTTCCAAATTTCATCAATATCTGACTAAACAACATGCTTTGAAGTATAAAAAAAGTCGGCAATATTTTTTCGACGTTTATATCTCCAAATTGAATTCCTGAAAGCTCATACAAACTTTCTCACGGCTTCGTAACGTAAACTTCATAGGGGCCTGTTTTATGTTGTTTTTTACGAAGAAATGCTTATTTTATAGGTATATAAATTCCGGTGTGGGATTCAATGATTAACAGCGTTTGAATATTGGCTCTGAATATTTTTAATCAGTTTTACTAAATGCATCAAGTATTTACTTATAATTGAGAAAAACAGATTACCCAAAAGACAGCGCTAATTTTAAAGATGTCCAATTTAATTAACAATGTTCAATGAACCCATTTGCATGTTTACATTACTTCGTTATTGTTCAACAAGTCCTAGTGCGAATTAAACAAGACAGATGTAGTTAATTAAGTCAATTTAAATAGTCCTAATAAAACAAATAATTCCAAAACTTGAGAAAACTGTCAGTAGCATTCGGTTGGGAAAACAGACAAGCCTTTCCAATCAACAAAAGCAACAATCGACCACACAGTGTATTCAATACAAGTCGTCGTTTTCCAAAAGACGAAGTTGCGCACGAACTTTCTAGAAACAAAGAGAGAACTCCCAAGAAAGTTACTTTAGAAACCCGGAAGGGGGGCGAACAGGGGGTGTTACTCAAAACTTCAACGACGGACGCCAGTTATGCGAACTTGGGCAAGTTTCCCACTCGCTAATTCGCAGTATAAATTTGTTTAACGTCTCAACTTTTTAACTGTAATTACTTAGAGAACTTCGAGATAGATTGGAGTACTCAGAAACTTTGACAGTCAGTGAAGAGTTTGATGAGTTATCTCAATAATTGTACGGTAGGCGAGCGTGCCGCACGTAACAAAACTTGAAACAAAATTGTGCAGAAGTGCTCGCAATCAAGTGTTTATTCAACTGCTCCACTCAATACGAACTTATCAAATTACATATTTCTTTACTGAAATTGATTTTCTAGTTGAATATAATCAAACGATGTGAACATTATAACAGAATTTTCTACTAAAACCAATAATAGAGATTTAAAACGTAAAAAGCATTTTAGTCAGTCAGCATTTCGCAGTTACTCAGATGGGAAAAGGAAAAAAATCATATTTTCATGTACGCATGATGTAAAATAATACAAAACATGTATCTATTATACAATAAAGTGAAACTAACTGAAATCAGCACCTAAAGTTTCTACTGAAATTTAAATTTTCCATAAAGTTGAAATACTATAACAATAAACTTTAAAGTTAATTCATTTAGTTTTTATAACAACTGTTTGTGTCTGACGCATAAAAGAAAATTTAATTAATCCACACTGGGTACATGAATTAAAAACATTTGCGTGTTTTAGTAATGTAAAACAACAAAGTTTATTTATTAAAGTTGACAGAGCGTAAACGTGGTCAGAAGTGGCATCCAAATTCTAAGTTGAGCACGAGGTTGTACCGATAGGTTGGTCCATTTTGAATTAATTTAATTAGTTAAATAACTGGGATTGCCGATATGAAGTCCTAAAATAAAATTAAGGGTTCCCTCATACCCTCAATTTGTTATCTTCATTATCATAGATAAACATACTTTCTTTAGTTGAATAAAGATTTCTTAAAGTAGATAAGGTGCTGGTTTATTAGTGTACCCGTATTACGAAAGGAGGAACAGGTAGACCTAAGAAGAAATGGATGAATTTCGTGAAACGCGATATGTGTAAGAGGGGAGTGAGCGAAGAAATGGTATATGATAGAGGAGTATGGAAGGAGAAAACATGTTGCGCCGACCCCAGGTGATTGGGAGAAGGGCAGGAGAATGATGATTACGCAAGGCTTTAAAAACCACCTCCGGCCAGACATAAAACTACAACAGTGTCGATTTAGTATAGTATTACATATTAGAATAGTCGTTCTCAGGCAATCTGTTATTAGAACTCGGCCTCAATTATGTGCCGAGATAACTAACCACTCTAACTGGATATCCATAAATTGACTGGGCCGTTACCCTTTTCGGTCCGTAATTAATTAAAATCGAAGACAGGTGGAAAGTTCGGAATACTTGCTCCTCGTTTGTGGACCGACACGGAATGGCTATAGGACAGGTTTCCTTGTACATCGGGTAATGAACACACATCATACCTATACCCTCGACGATAGCTACACTATGCCCTTTTAAATCGGGTACTGTTGCCGCATTGGATGCCGACGCGTTCGGTAAACGAAACCGGTTACGTCCAGAACTTCCCGCTTCGGAATTATGTTGTAGAATGTGTTTTACAGTTACGCAGTTACATGAGTTAACATTTTACAAATTCAAATTGGATTCCATTTCATTAAAACTTAAAAGGACAAGCTCTTTTTAAATTATTAATTGTTTAATAATGATAGGCAGAATTATATGTACTAGACAATGTAAGTATGTATCCAGTTTCTGTGTTTTCGGCTTTGTTTAACGGTAGCTTGTTGATCAAATTGAAACTAATTGAGTACACGGATTTTCTCTATGTATCGATTAAGGACATTACAAGCTAAATGATCGATAATTGGGTTAATGCTTTCACCAGGTGTTTTGATTATCATATAGCGTCGTTTAGCTACATCGCACTGATCTAAAGTCGGAAACATATTGGAAAATTTAACGAGAAATCCAATACGTGTTGCCCTTTACGAGAGAAACTTAACAATTTAGTTTATAAGACATTAAAGGAAAACTATTTTAGAGATATGGTCGGTTCATTTGGCATTTTAATCATTTTACATTTATTGACAAAATTCAATTAACTTAACCCAAAAAGGATTATGCTTGATGATAGGTCAAGATCAAGGTTCGTCGAAAATGGTTGATGATAATTTCTTACCGAATAAGAGAGAAACAGAAAATCGTAGAATCGCTTTCTTTCTTTCACAAAAAAAAACCATAGCACAAGAACACAGAAACAGGCACCCAAATAGAACACAAAATTTAATTTCAAATGCCCCTGAAACTTCGTTAAAACCACCTTCAAGGTATGTTAGTATGAAGAGCTATTTAATTCCCTGCATAGACTATCCCACTCGTAATAGTCACCTTAGTCCTTAGTCTTCGTTGTCTACATTAAATATTATAATACTACTAGCTTTTGCCTGCGACTTCGTCTGCGTGGAATAGGTCACAAATAATGCTTTATTTTAGAACAAATTTGTTTAGCATAAAAACGTTATAGTGAGCCAACCTTAACATATAGACATATGCTGTCGAGGACTGTTTTTTTAGATCTTTTAAAGAGGAACAATTCTGTCATGCATTGTTTTAGCGAAACTTTAACCGTTTCTGCAGCGGACGCAGCGAAAGCTCTTAAAAGGAAAAAATAGCCCCGATTTGGAAGAACCTCTTGTGAATCCGCACGGGTAGGTACCACCACCCTGCCTATTTCTGCCGTGTAGCATTAATGCGTTTCGGTTTGAGCAGTTTGGTGGGGCAGCTGTTGTAACTAAACTTGAGACCTTAGAACTTATATCCCAAGGTGGGTGGCGTATTTACGTTGTAGATGTCTATGGGCTCCAGTAACCACATAATACCAGGTGGGCTGTGAGCTCATCCACCCATCTAAGCAATAAATAAAAAAAATATTGAAACATTCTTTATTGGGGCTCCGCTTGTATTGGTCTTAGCGTGATGTTACATAGCCTATAGCCTTCCTCGATAAATGGGCTATCTAACACTGAAATAATATTTCAAATCGGACCAGTAATTCCTGAGATTAGCGCCTTCAAACAAACAAACTCTTCAGCTTTATAATATTAGAATAGATGATTTTACTTACCCCCGTATGCTCATTGACTCCAACGATGACCGCCGTATACCACTGAGTGGCTCCTGCGGCGCGGTATACCTGAGCTCTACATCCACCCAGCACCGACGGCGTTGTGGTTAATATTCTCTGGCCGTCTTGGGAAGTCCGCCACTCTGACGCTTCAGCAGACAGAGCTGACAGAGTAACGGACTCGACACCGGACTCTGAACCGGCGAGGTGAGCGTCCCATTTCTGAAACAATATTTATTTTTATTTTAAACTAGCTTTTGCCCGCGGCTCCGTCCACGTTGAATAGTTACTTTGGCATAACGCTAAATTTTATCCCCACTTCATTTACGTAGAAAGTGATGATATTTTTGAATTATAGAATGTTAAGAATGTTAAGTTAATTATAGAATGTTATAAGAATGTTACATTAGTATTAAACCCCTATTTTGCAATATTCTTTCTTTCATTTGTATAGGTCTTACCGTGATGTTATATAGCCTTCCTAGGCCTAGGCCTATAGCCTTCCTCAATAAATGGGCTATCTAATACTGAAAGAATTTTTCAAATCGGACCAGTAGTTCCTGAGATTAGCGCGTTCAAACAAACAAACTCTTCAGCTTTATAATATTAGTATAGATAGTTCACCGAACACGAGAACTTCCGTTATATAAATTTTCGTTTCGATTTCTTCTTTTGCTTTTATGCCCAGTCGAGCTGAAGGCGTGACCTTATATAAAGCATTTCCGAAACCCACACATATCACAATACCGCCATAGATATAAATACGGAGTCTCCGTTTCATCACAATAATTACTATCCTGAGTTACTGCAGTGCCTGCATGGCAGAAATTGGCAAATAGAGCCGTGACAGTGATACGTAGAAAGTACCCAGAGGATACCAGCTGGTGTGAATTCTTAATGAATACATTAGTATAAAACCTCCAAAAGAAATGATCAAATAGCAAAACATATTATACAGTATATCACTTTCACGTGTAAACATAATTAAAATGGTATAATGATTTTTGTCTGAACATTAATAGCTCAAGAAAGAAAAAATATCTAGAAGAACTTTCACATCCTTTGAGTAACAGAACTTATAAATATAGTGGAGTAGCTTATATTACTAAGCAATTCAAATTTTGTTCTTTAATTAAACATACATATAACATGTCCGTCAGTATCAGAATATATCTAAATTCCTAAATTAAATTTAAGTTCTTATTTATTTAATGCAAAGGAAAAGAATTAGAAAATCATTAAAAAAAAGATAATCGGAAATAACAGTATTATTAAAATACTACTACTCTTTATCACGATCACAAATCTATTAATTATGCAATTAAAGCAACACGTTTTACGCTATCGACCTCGGATCAAATGTATGTGAGCGTCACGGCCTACAAACACATAGAGAGACACACCACTCGCACAAGACCACAAATCAGCATTATACTTGCTCACGTACATCGTATTAAATGCAGTAATAATTCACCGCAGTTAACATAAGTATCTCGCGTATGAGAAGTTGTGCATGCACACGAATGCACTAGTATTTATGTCAATGTTACAGAGCGCACGCACACATGCAACCAGACCCACACCTGTTTCAATGTATTGCATGCACACGAGCGGCGACAGACGTATCCGGTGCGTTGAACCTGCCCCCTTCAGACCCCCTCTTCTCCCTGCAGCAGCTGTGCTATAGCCTACGATATACTTATAGATACAGCCTACTGTATCCGCCTGTGTGCTAACACTGTTGACTTGTTCAGGGTCACTCGCTTTGTGGACGCTTTGAATTATTTAGGCATTATAAAATGGGTATTAACCGTTCCTAATTGAGCTTCAGATAATTACTTTTAGAGCTTTTAATAGAACAATCACTAAGCTCACGAAGCTCCAATGTAAAATAAAGCAAAATGTAGATCAAATTGAAATCTGACGGCAGAAAGAATTGGTTATAAATTGTGGAACGCAGACGCCACGTAACATAAGCGTGGGAGCCCTTTTTCACGGCCAAACAGTTTTTCGAAACTCGCAACGTTTGTAATCGTAAGCCGTAAGTTGTCAAGTCACGGTCTGATGAGCTTCGGCCGGTCGCGGTGAGTCAGCAGCGTTACGCAATCCGGCTGCAGCCATTACGAGCATTACTGTTTATTTTGCCCGTCCGCTTGCTCTATTTGGAGAGATTACGCCTTTACGCCCCATCATTAATACGCAGTCATGACCTAAAGTTGAGAACATAGATAAAATTGATCTTGTTTGACAAAGTGATGAATATTTATACATATAAAGCGTGTCATTTCGTGTAATATCTAGAGTACCATTGAAGTATTACTCTTCGATATAACAATGAAGATTTATCGATAATCGTAAACCTTTTACGATTGATCGACATCGTAAAATGTTTAGTGGTTGTTTTACAAGTGAATCATAATGATTATAACATTTTGGGATCGTTGGAACTCTAGAATGGTCTTTATTGTTCTAAAGACATTAAATAGTCAATGATAGCCTTTATTATATTTATACAAATACGGGTACCAATATCTAACAAAATAACTTTTAAGACACTAAATAAAAACCCTAAAACATTTATATACAAGTTTAACTTTATAAATGACAGATTTACATAGTAGGTTGATTGTTGTTTTCAAACATCACAAAAACTATAGCGTAACATTTTTTAATGTTTAAAACCAACATAAATCAGTAGTCGTTTCATTAAAGGCATCCCAAAACTTCAGTGCGACCACTGAAGTATATATTATTATGACTTCAATGGAATTCGTATCACGGAGTAAGGTCACACTCCGTGATACGAATTTAAAGGAGGTTGTTATCATACTTTATACACCCTCTGACATTTACAGCACTAAATAGCAAATGTTACCTGTTTATGTAACAAAGTGTGGCATTTATGTCTAAAACAATCATAAGGGAAAAGTCTACGGTTTTATTTCTCGTCTATTTTCGCATAGGTTCACTCACGTGTATGTTCGTTCATGAGTATTTTCGATTCAATCAATCAAATCAAATACATACTGTGAAAATAATTCTGTAACGTGAATTGTATTTTATTTATTTTCCCTTCTTACCTACGTACTTCTAACTTACGTACTTCTAACTTACGTTCTCTCTATTCAAACCCTAATTCCCACAAAATAGCATAGCACACTACAAAAAAAAACAAAGCTGTATTCAAATCACAGATTTTAAATTTATATTTAGAAAGAATAAGAACAAAGCTGCATTCAAATCAAAGATTACTCAGTGAATTAGCCTTGGTAATATGTAAGTATCGGTATTCGAAAATAGAATACATTATACATATTTTGATGGAAATTTCCTTAAGAGCTATACAGGCGTATTATAAACCCGCACGGGTAAGTATCGACATGTTATTTGTTTCTGCCGCCAAGCCGTAATGCGTTCCAGTTTTATGGGTAGAATAGCCGTGGTACTATACAGTTTAGACTTCGACCTATGACTCAAGGTAAGCAGCGACAGTTACATCGTAATGTCCGTATTAGATAGAAATAAATAAAAGTAGAAGAAGGCGGATGAAGTTACGTAACTCATACCTACTAGTGTTTTATATAACCGTAACCAGTACACGATTGTTATATCTAAATCGAGCCAGTGCCTTGTATCAGGGAGCTATTATGTCTGGCATACATTCGCGACAGTACGGTCCTCATTTAATTTCCTGTAGACTCTGCTCTGATATGCCCACGGATTATGTACCGCCTAGATACCGAGATATTAGAATTGATTCGCATTTTGGATACATTCTCATCAATAAAATTGCTTTAAATGACTGTTATTTATTGTTTTATTAATTTTGCGGGTTACTCATAAATCAAACATTCATATTCTAATGCTAGTTTCCTTAGCTAAATGCAGCAAGTGCCGACCTAACGGTCTGCGACTCATTTCACTATAGTGAACATTCATGAGAGCATAGTTTGCGATGTATTTCATATGAATTTATTCGTGTATAACTATCACTACCAAATATTACAGTAGAACATAAATAAAATACATATATAATGATAAATCACTTGATCATTGTAACACTAATAAAAAGCAAATCTCAGAAAGAAATAAAAACGAATCAAGAAAAAAAAAACTATCATACATTAATAAGGGTCATAAATAAGTCTATTGTTTTATTGTAATGTTAGATTATTTCGAAACAAATGATAAAGTAACAAATACATAATTAATTGTATCCTATCGTAAATCCCGCTATTGAATAATAAATCTAAAACTAATAGATAAGTCAAGGGTTTTTACTATCCATGTACAAGTTTTGGGGACTAACTGTCATTACCCACATATTCATCTTCAGTTTAATAAAAAAATCAATGAACAAAGAACATAACAGACCTTGTTTTGCAAAATCAGAATGAAATTGTTAATGAAATTCAAGCGAAATCACGAAACAATGAACCGCCCGCACCAACTTGAAGCCCCTTCAGGTTATTCAATCCCGATTCTGCAGGATAGCCGTCGGAGCACCATGGTTCCTGAGGAACGTGGATCTCCACGATGACCTGGAGCTTGACTCTGTCAGTAAGTATCTACAGTCGGCATCGCTGCGCCATTTTGAGAAGGCGGCACGACATGAGAACCCTCTCATCGTAGCCGCTGGAAATTACATNGGAGTAGCTTTATTACTCGCCTGCGAACCCGAGCGGTCGTAAACGAAAGGTTTTAGGTTCGTAGACAATGCACTAAACCCTATCCATCAAGCGAGATGAAACGTCTGGCGGTATGCGTTCCTCCGTTGTGGCGGACGAGCGGGAAAATGCAAACACATACACACTGAGACCGTAAACATAAATTGCGCTTTTGTATTTACACATGTACGAAGGGGGAAGCGACGCGGAAAACAATGATATTCGTGAGTAAATTCCGATGCAAATTGCTGAAGGGGTAGCTAAAATTTATACGAAATATATAAAAAAAAACTCTTCATAACTAAGTTTACGTTGTCATTCTAAGATTGTGACATTTTTTACATCTTTGCTTGTGGTCAATTGTAAATATGTCTACGTTTGTAATTTTGTTACATATGTATGTGTGTGTATATGTGTTTTGAAATTCATTTTGGAACAGATCTTCTTTCCTCTTCCTTCCAATTTCGTATCTAAATATATTGTTTTATCTAATTGTCTCTATCTATTTGCAGATATCATCTGTCTGCTGACGACGTGTGCTCTGCTTGTGTTGCA